ATATTTTTACCTAATTGTCAGAATGCACGGTTCAACCCTAGCTTCCATGAAAGTGGGTTTTACATTGTTAGAGGGTGGGTGTAGGCCACCCTTTAACAATGTTAGAGGGTTTTAGGAGAGGAATTGGAAAATTATTTCTGAGCACCAGGTCTGCTGTGGGGGGTCCTGGCTCCTTCCCTTCCTGTGTGGGAGTGGGCTTGATCTGGGGGCAATCCATGAAATCTCAGGGAACAGATCCCCATAGGCCAGAAGCACATGGAAAGGAGGCTGGCCATGGGTCAGTACTTTATTTATTTATTTATTTTAAAGTGTTTTTTTTTTAAATTGATCTTCGGGGAGGGGAAGGGAGAGATAGAAAAACATCGATTTGTTATTGCACTTATTTATGCATTCATTGTTGATTCTCGTATGTGCCCTGACTGGGGATCGAACCCACAACCTTGCATATTGGGACGATGCTATAACCAACTGAGCTACCTGGTCAGGGCTGGGCCAGTTTTTTAAAATGTCAAGTCCCCCAGGGACCTAAGCCACAATTCACTACAGACCTGGTTGTCTGGGACTGGTTGTGCCAATTGAGGAGATGATTAGAATCTGAGGCTGAGAGGAGGGGCTGCTAATGGGAGAACTGAACAGACATCTCCTTAGTATATTTGCTTGGAGAGGTCACCTTGGGTGTTACCTTTGGCAGCATTCGAGAGAAGAGATTCTCCTACCCAAACTTCTTCTGGCATAAATTTCCATTAAGTGTTACAACTCAGCAGCATTCCATTTTAAGCCATATACATATCTGTCTAGAAATATTCTGAGAATGTTTGTTTTCACTTGAACATTCAGATTCCTAATGTTGATAAGAAGCTAGAGTTGAAGCAGATGCTCACAGAGGAAGTTATAGGAAAAGAATCCATAAACACCTGAGAGTCCTGACAGGGCACTCCTTAGGCTGATGAGAGAAGTAGAGTTGGTTCAGAGATCGAGGAACAGAAGTGATGGCAGGTGGAACCAAAAGTTGAGAAGCTTGTTCAGAGGGCATGAGGGTCCTGAGAAAAGAAAGTGAAGCTCTTGTGAACATTACAAGTTTGGGAGACAGAACTTAAGAAAACCCTCAGTACCTCCTATAATAAATCAAAACACTCTAAGGTCCCTCTTCCTAAAATGCAAGAGGTTGGTGGCATTTGAAAATTGAAAAATAACTTGTAACCTTCAGTCCTGTGAATTCCACCCTTGTAGGGCTTTCACATCAGGGGCAGGAGAGAGTTAGGAAGCTTTCAATTTTTCAAGCTCTTCAGGTTTCAATCTTTACATCTTAATCTTTCATTTGCTTCGGTGTGAGGTAGGGATCTAGCTTTTTTTCTATTCCTTTCAGATAGCAGTTAGCAAGTTATCCCAGCATCATGTCTTGAATAAGGCTAATCTTTCCCTACTGATTTGATCACCCACCTTCAAAATTCTACTTTCAAACAACCAGCACTGTCAGATGCCACACCTGGTCAGACCTCAGACCTCAGCCACTGTGAATGTGGGCTATCCACAGTCCTGGCAAATTACTATCCTGGCCTCCTGAATGGTGGTCTGCTGGCCAGCTCAGTGTCGGCAGTCTTGCCGTCTTTTTTTATGCAGCAGATTTGTAGTTATTTAAGTGCTTTGTTTTATTTTGCTTGTGTTTGACAATGGAAAGGGGAGAAAATCAACGTGCTTGTACTTGCAACACAAAGCAGGCCTTCTAAATACAATGCAAGGTAGAAATCATTTCAGTCTCAAAAAAGTGACAAGCCTTTTTCTTCAGCCAGGTGCTTATTGGACTTGAGCTGGTTACTGAGGGTATGACTGTGAAGGAGAAAAGCCAAATTGAAGAATACAGATATGGAAATAAGTTATTTAGATTATCTGTGTAGGAGAGGGGATCCCTGGTCTGAGATGGTGCCACAAAAATCATAAAGATGATTAAAACCTTCCCCAAGCAAAACTGGACTGAGAACACACCTGCTGTGGTGCCTCAACTGACCACACTTCTCTTCTGTGTGCCTGCGATTTACATCTATGTGTAACATGTCTGAAGTGAACCTGTGGTCAACCCCATCCTGACACCTAAAAACAATGCAAAAGGGATAAACACCCACTCAGTTATTTTTCAGTCCAGTTCCACACGTCAGTAACCATCTATCCCCTCTCAACACCCGTATGTAAACCATCACCAAGTCCTGTTGACTTTAGCTGCTGAAGTACCTTCTTAAATCATCACCGCCACCACCCTGGGTCCGGAAGGCCTCCCTTGTGCCTGAACCGTGCTGTAGCCTCGTAATTAGTCTCTCCACATTTACTCTCACCTTCTAGCCAATTCATTTTCCATGTCACAGCCAGAGTAATCTTTTATTTTTTTTATTTTTATTTATTTATTTATTTTTTTTTTGCAGAAATCTTTTAGAAATGAAAGTCTGATCAGGACAGCATCCCTCTGATTAAAAACCCTTCAGCATCACCCCATTGTTCTCATGGTGGCCACAGGCTTCCATATGGCCCACCCCAGCTTTCATCGTGTTTTCCTCACACTGGCCTGCCTTCAGACTTCTCTCCTCTTTCTGCTCCTTCCCACCTGCGAAGTGGCTGCAATGCCCCATGCAGTCCCAGAGCTAACTCCCCCATCCTTAGATTGCAGGTGAACCTTTCCTGCCCACAGCTATGCTCTCATGTTGCTGTGTGACATGTGCCTCCTTCCCTTGTAGTACTTATCACAGTTTCTAGTCATGCATTGAATTTATATGATTAGTGTCTGTTTCCCTCACTGGACTGTAAGGCCCATATGTGCCAGAACCACAGCCATTCTTACTCATCATTATATTCCTACTGACTATCACAAATTCTCAGTAAATTTTTGTTGAATGTGGTTCTTATTTGCCTTGTTGACAGCCTAACTTGGCGAACAAAATTTCCTCAGGAATTCTTTATATTTTAGGGTAGATACTGTTGGTCCAAAATAGTTTTCATTTTGTATTTTCATTTATAGATTTATTGTGCCCATAATATTAATAAAATGCTCTTTCAGTGGAATATTGTCTTCTGCCTTCAGAGTGGTCTGCGTTTGTCTGACTTGGGATCTGACTCTTCAGAATTGCAGAGGCTACAGATCTTTGAAAGCAATCAGATCTATAGTGCACACATTCCATTTCACTGTCTGGCTGTAGCATTGCATACAGAGGTGATGCTCAATCTGTTTATTTTGTTTATTATATATTATTTTAATTTGAAAAGCACATAACTATATTTGGAGAAAAGGGAAAAAATCATCTGTAACACTACCATTCAAACTCAACTATTGTTTTAATATTACCTGTTGATCTTTTTATATGCATTTTTAACATTGCCATAATCACGGTGTACATAACGTTTTGTGTCCTGCTTTTATTCCCCTACATAACCTTGATGTTCATTGATCATTCTATTGTGTACGAGCCTAATTTATTCAATTCAAGCATTTATGAAGGATTACACTGTGCCAGTCACCTTCCTATGTGCCTACTGCCATCAAAGAAAATACACAGATTTTATACTCTGTAATAATAGAATATTATAATTCCGAAGCTTTTAGTGACATTTTTACTTCACAGATATATTGATTTTGTGACATCTCTTCATCTCAGAATGAGGACTATGCAATACTTTTCTCCATTTGTTTAATTACTTCTTTCTTCATTTATTCAACAAATTTATTATGGCTTACTGTGTGCCAGGCGCTATTCTATGTACTGGAGATACAGTAGTGAATCCAACAAAGTGTCTGCATCCTGGTGAGAGAAGACAGACAATGAGTGAATGCATGCATGAATGAATAGATAAGTAGAAGAGAAAAAAAGTTAGGTGAGAGAGATGGCTAATGGTGTGGAGGAGGGGCTGCTCTTTTGGAAGGTCAGGGAAGGCTCTTGAATGGTGACATTTGAGCAGAGACCTAAATAGCATGCAGGGTGAGCTGTGCAGCTGTCAGGGAGATTTTTCCTGGCAGAGGGTCAGCAGGTACAAAGGCCCTGAGGTGAGTGCTTGATGTTTGCAAGGAGCCAGTGAGGGAAGAGGGTGAACAGGAGCTGAGGTCAGTGAGCTGGGGGTAGAGCCCTGAGGAGTTTTAGAGAGTCTTCCAGGCCATGGCAAGGCCTCTCTGGCTTTTCCTCCAAGTGAATGGGAAGTAGTGGAATAGTATATACCCTGGCTTGTGCTTTCATAGGATACCTTCGTTCACCAGCTTTCTCTGTTCCTTCTGTGTCACCTTCCGGATGACTCTGTACCAGAACCTGGAAACTTCCTTTCAGACACGCATGATGCAGTCATAATGCAAAGTCCGCACTCCTTATGCATAAATGTGTAGGCAGATAGTCAGTCACACCCTGTGGTGTCACAGATTCAGATTTGGTAATCACTCTTCCAAAAAATTATACATATTTCACACACTTGAAAAAATTTATAATTGAATTTCTCAAAAAATCATTGACTGGTTGATTGATTTTAGAGAGAGGAAGGGAGAAAGAGGAAAAAAACATTGATTTGCTGTTCCACTCATCTATGCATTCATTGGTTGCTTCTTGTATGTGCCCTGACCAAGGATCAAACTCACAACCTTGACATATCAGGACGATGCTCTAACCAATTGAGCTACCCAGCCAAGACTGATAAATTCTCATTTCTTTATCTTTTGTTCATTTGAGAGAATTTTCTTTTCTGAAAAGAATGACCAAATATGTTTTCCAGACTATAAAAACTTATCCCATTAAGGCTTACTATCAGTTTTGTAATTATAAAGCATGCTTCAACCCCTGACATTCTAGAAATAAGCTATTTTTGGAGGGGAGAGTTAGTTAACCTAATTATAATCTGCCTTGAGTTGCTCTATGGTTAGATCTGTCACATGCCAAAGTTAGATCCCATTAGTAGGCTTAAAACATTTATTTATGAAAGAACAAACTGTTACAGGTTGCTTAGGGTAATTGATTTCTTTTGTTTTCTTTCTGTTACAGGAGGAGACATCACAGCTTTCCCAGATTGGGAGGAAAAATATGGAATGTGTTTTACCGCTGACTGAACACAACCAAATGAACTGTACTGACAGTAGTTTGAAAACCAGCAGTTAGCAGTTTGTTCAGGCTCTAACATTGTCCAGCACTTTCCAGAGCAAACTCACTGTTTACAAGAACTCTCGGCCTTACGACGTTTATAACCTCAAGCCTCGTTTATTTAAAATATTTCTGCAAAGAAAAGTACCCAGAGCCCACTTTCCAAAATGGCCGTGGATGGGTATTTGTGGATGGTCATTTTAGGTTTTATCATAGCTTTTATATTGGCATTTTCTGTTGGTGCAAATGATGTTGCCAATTCATTCGGTACTGCTGTGGGCTCCGGTGTAGTGACCTTGAAGCAGGCGTGCATTTTGGCTTCAATATTTGAAACCACGGGCTCAGTGTTATTGGGAGCCAAAGTTGGAGAGACCATTCGAAAAGGTATCATTGATGTGAACCTCTACAACGAGACAGTGGAAACACTAATGGCTGGGGAAGTTAGTGCAATGGTTGGTAAGTAACATGATTCTTTATACCTGTGGGAAGTGTGTCCACTGGCCTTCTTCCCTATAGTGCTTTTGTCATATCCATAAATGTGTTTTTTTCTTTCACTTTGCAAAAACTGGTTTGATGTTTTAACTTTGCTATTGTCTTATTTTTGCTTTCTGCATTTTAACTTCATTATGTTTGTTTAGTGTTCAAATATTAAGCAAACACATGTTCTTAAATGTTTAGCAACCCTGGTTGTTAAAATAGATTTCAGCTGAGTACTTTTTATAAAGTACAGAAAAAGGTATTTGTAGGGCAGCTCTTATTAGAGAAATAGTGAGCATGTCTAAGAAAATGTCTTTGAAAGATTTACTTAAGAGTTTTCCTTTAAGGTTTATTTCTGTTTTTTCATGGGTCTCATTTTTTTATCAATTAGGACGCAGTTGTTTTTGAAAACTTGGATGCCAATAAAACAATATTTATTAATTTAACTTGTATTCTCAGTTTAAGTTTTAGAGCAGTTACCAAGAAAATCGTGTTTGTTTCAAGAAATTCTGGTCTTTTGTAGCCTTTGTAATCCTCTTGTTGGCTTTTGTTTTGATTTTCTGATTCCACCTCTGGACGCTCCATTTGGTATGCTTGTTGTGTTTTCTAGTCAAACGGTCATTTGTATGCCACCTGGGTGATTTGTATGCCACCTGTGGGTGGTTTCAGGTTGTCTAGATGAGAGAGAAGTGCTGAAGGCAGTGAAGTATGTTAATGGGAGATTGGGCTGACAGTGGGATTTCTCCATTGCCCAAGGTGACCGTAGACCCAAGCACTGTGGGGACGCTTCCCTCACTGCCCTTGCTACAGCTGAAAAGAAGACTCAGGCAGAGGTGCCTGGAGTGCAGCTGACGGGATTCTCTTTGCTTGCCTTGAGGTAGAGATGACGGCACAGCAGACAGCTGATGCATTCGGGTAATTTGGTTAGGGAGGAGAGGGATAGAGAGGAATTCTACCACCTTCTGCTTTCAACAGGACATATCCTTTTGTAGGAAGAGTCCTGCAGTAGGAGGTAAGATGCTGGTGTACCAAGAACGCAGCTACATTTCACAGGTCCTTCCTAGTTATTTATTGTCACTGGCATTGTTTAAGCACCCAGGATGTGGAAATGATTTGCCAAATTTAAGATAATCCATCATCTTTTTATTACAGCAAGTTAGTCTGAGAAGTTGCTGAGGCACTTGATCTGAAGCAGGCCAATGTACTAAGGTATTAAATACAACTAAGGGTAGTGGGTTGATAACATATGCTAAGGAGTGCCTATGTCTCAGCTGAACATTTTGTGTTTTAAAGATGTAAGGTTCACAATTGCTTTCATTCCAACAGCTCTTGTAATGATTGAATCTTAACTTCAGTGAGCATATATTTTTTATTAAAGTCAGATAAATTGAAATTTCTCATAGAAAAATAACAGTTCCTTGTAAAATTCACCCTTCTGTAGCTGTGATAGATGTCTAAGACATAATCATATCGACCTGAAATTAAGATTTTTTTCAGTCAGGATGATGTGGGCAAGATATGTTGAAAGCAGGGGAGAAATAAAGAAAAACACTGATAAAATTAAATATTTACCGAAATTTCTCCTTTCACTGGATGAAACTTGAGGAATGGTGTGCTTATTAGAGACTTGTTAGTGAGGCCACACTGAGGGCCTCAGAGTGACAGAAGGTCTCGTGAGCGGAGCTTATGCCACTGCTTGCTTACTTTTCTGTGTGGGCAGTAGTTTTCCCACCCCTGGCCTTGGCTCTTTACTGAAAGAATGAAGAATACTTACCCCAACTAGAATTTAGGTTAACCAAAGCAATTTGGGGTTTTGCTGGAATAACTTGGTTTTGTTGGCTTTTCGTTCTTCCTTTTCTTTCTTTTCTTTCTTTCTTTTCTTTCCTTTCCTTTACCTTTTCCTTTTCCTCCCTCCCTCCCTTCCTTCCTTTTCTCCTCCTCCTCCTCCCCCTCCTTCTCTTCCACCTCTTCCTCCTCGTCCTTCTCCTCCCTCCTCCTCCCCCTTCCCCTCCTCCTTCTCCTTTGTATGGTTACATGAATCTCAAAGTCCATTTTGTTGGGAATTTATATAGATTTTCAAAATTGGTTTCCTTACAAATGGGAGCTATGTAAATTTAAGATGATGGTATAATTATTATTGACCAAAATCAAAGCTGATTCTCTTCAGATGCCTGATTATCTCAATCTTCCTCTTCTAAATTCTCCATCCATCTCTTCTCTCCCTCTCTTCCCCTGTCCTTTTCTTCTGTTCTATTTGTTTTCTTCTCTCTTTTAGAAATTTCTCCCCAAGCCCATGGGTCTCTGTGCTTTCCAGTAGAGTTGTGGTGTTGGTGTTGGTTGGGTGGAAGAAATTGTTAGTGCTAGCTAAACTTCTTGAGCCAAGTTATCTTTTGGGATTCTAGCTCAGCACTAAAGCAGTAGTCAGTCCACTTAATACGAAACCATCAATGCTTCCAAAAATCTACTGAGAATCCAAAACCCACCACCTTGCCATAGAAATACCCACACCCACATGAAGAAGCCATCTCCTTGAACCACACTAAGAAGTGCACACTCCCCATAAGGCTCCCTCCCTGCCCATAACCACTGAGCCTTCCCCCTGCCTGCACTCACTCATGCCTGCCTGCCTGTTTGCCTCGATGGTAACCATGAACCTTGGCTCTGCCCTTCTACCCCCCCCCCCCCCCCCCCCCAACATTTGCTAGGCTTTGTCTTATGCCTGCATCCTGTACTTAATCCCTTTCCTTTTTGTAGGCTAACATATATTTTTCTAGGTTAAAACGTATTTCTCTTTCTCACTGTTTTTCTTAACATGAATGTAATCCTACATGCCTTCAGAAATTCCTGGGGTTAGGGAGGCCTCTCACCCTCTCTCACTTTTCGAGGTCCCTGCAAACACCTGCCTCCTTTTTCCCTCCTCTCAGCTGCTCCTTCACTTCCTTCACTCTTCCCACTGGCCTCCTGAGTCTTTCCTTCTTCCTTCTCAGGCAGCTCATTCTCCCTACCTTTCCTTACACACCCTCCTGCTCCAGGATATACATTATAAAGTTAGTCAGAGAGAGGACAGCAGCTTTCAGGAAGGAAAAAAATCACATGGTCTCCATCTTGTGGGTGACTTTATACCATGCTCTTAACATCACTAAATCATTTTAATTTTGGTAAAGAAATCATAAAGTTTGTTTTTTAAGTTCTGGTTCTATGCCATGAAACATGCTCCAAACTCTGGCTGTATTTTTAAAACAACTATGTAGTCCCTGCAGAACTCAGGGCTTAGCTGCGAAGGCTTAAGGAATTATTCGCCGGGAAGCCTGGGTGCAGCCAGGGAGCCTTGTTACCGGATAGGCAGCACAGGCTGGCCCCTTCTCCTTCCAGCACACGCTTCAGGGACAGGCACGGGGCCGCAGCCCAGGGCAGCTCAAAGGTCAGCATGCCCAGCACTCGTGGAGCAGCTGTCAGCCTTGCTTCACAAACGGACCTGCGCAGCCTTTAACGATCCTTGTTAACTCAGATATTTTTGAAGAAAATGCCAAGGATCTGCTTGAGAGTGCTGCTGCTGCCAAGCAACCAGATTTCCAGAATTAACATTTGGGATTAATAACGGGCCTGCTTATCCGCCAAACCCTTGTCCCCTTCAGCTCTATATGAACTTTTCAACAATTGTGTTGAGAGTGATCCCTCCCAGCTGATGCTGTTAATACTCACTGCAAAATCTGATCTGCTTATGAAAATATCTGAACTATAGCCTAGAAAAGCATTAAGCCTGAAAAAGAGTGGTGAAATTTAGGTAAAAGGACATAAAGCCACAATGAAGGGCTCCTCTTAACTCCCAAGAAGTAGAAGACGTGAGAACGTGTAAGGCAAAGCCCCATCGTTCCAGCAGGGGCTGAAAGCAGAGGCCCAACTTTGGGTTAAATATCATAGTTCCTTCTCACATGAGAGGCAAGAATAAAAAAGCAACGTGGTGGTACACGCTCTCGTGTACAGACTAATTCAACAGCTGATATTTAGCCCTCCTCATTATGTGACTATAAGGCCTAACTATGGTGAAATCTTTTCCCATGTGCAACCTTTCTGGTTTCTCTGTTTATTCAAGTCCTCAATCTCTTGCTTGGTCTTGGCCACACTTCACATCAGAGCAAGTTCATTATCAGCTCCCTTACCTAAATGTGACAAGGGCAGTTAGTAACCGGCATCGAGAGACTTTTCTTTAAATAAATGAACATTTCCCTTCAGTGTTGAAGACTTTTTTCTTGGACTCAAGTTAATTGAGTAATTTTGTCGGGATATTAGCGCTTTGTAAAGGAACCACTCATAGAAAATGAACCCCATGGGTGTTGCTGTGGAGAACAGTAATTTGTATTTCTTCCTTTTGTGGCTGTTGGAGATGCTGAACTCAAGCATGTCAAACTCAAAGGCTAACACGGGCCAAATAAACAAGGTTTAAGTTTACATGGGCCGCAAAAAAAGCAAAATCTTCAATTTTCATAGAAACATAGGTTTATTTAGAAAAGTATAGTATAAAATAGAACAAGAGCAATGGTAAAATTAATGTTTCCTTACATACCATTATATTGGCTGGGCCGCAAAAATATTCGCTGTGGGCTGCAGCCCGAGGGCCATGAGTTTGACATGCTTGCTGTACCTTACACCTGACTTTTTTCTTTTTTTTAATCTTTCCACTTCTAGGTTCAGCTGTTTGGCAGCTGATTGCATCCTTCCTGAGACTTCCCATCTCAGGAACTCATTGCATTGTTGGTGCAACTATAGGATTCTCACTTGTTGCAATTGGCACCAAAGGTGTGCAGTGGATGGAGCTGGTCAAGATTGGTAATTGCCATTTTCTTTTACCTATAAGAAGGAAAGTTTACATTCTCTAGCGTAAGTTTTATTAAAAGTTGCAATTATAATATATTTTTCCTTCAATGTTAAGGTTTAGAAGACCTATATGGGTAATATAGTTTTCCTTAAAATTTCTGTATTGTGAACTGTTATGTGTTAGAGAATTTTTTTTTTTTTTTTTTGCCTCCAAACACTCCTTGGAATGTTACATTGTCATCAGCTTTGAAAAATCAACATTTATCTACTGTTCCCAAACAGAAAAGAAATTTATCTCATTGAAATCAGTCTGTAGTCAAAGAAAAATTAGGTCCTAATGAGGAAAGTACTCTTAGTGTCTAAGAGTCGGAGTTCATGGTTATAGGGAAGCCTTGAAATGAGCCCAGTGTTATTGACCTCACTACAGTCAAGAAATCGCCCAGTCTGCCTGTATAGAGGAGGCGCTCTAGTGTTCCTTCCAGGCTGTAGGCTGCTCAGCAGGTCTGTTTTAAGAGGTCTGGCAGCTTGCTTCCTGGCCCTGGCTCTTTGTAAGAGGGAAATCCATTCAGCCCCATAAGCACCAACCTGCCTATTGTAAGAAATGCTCTCTCCCCATCTCCATTCTCTGGGTTGCTTGTCCTTTTAAGAATCACAGTGATCTCAGGAGCTCTAGGTTGAGTCCCAAGCAGCGACTCAGATGGCCCGGAAAATCAGTTTAGATCCCAGGCTTCTAGAACCATGGTTCTCAACTCTGTCTGCACATTAGAATTACCTGGGGGAGCAATTTTAAAATATCAGTGCTCAGGCCCCATTCCAAACGTTTTAAATCAGAATTCTAGGGGTGGAGCCAGAGCATAGCTAGTTTTGAAAACTCCCCAGATGTTTCTTATGTGCAGCCAGAGTTGGGAACTACTAGGCCAGAGGCCGTGTCAGGATGACAGTCTCAGGCTGGAGGTGGAAAGTGAAATGGAAGGTGGCCCACCTTTCAGAGCACCTTTATGTTGGAACAAGGACCAGGTCTCCATGTGGATTGATGAGAACAGCAGGCAGAAGGGGCTCGCGGGGTCACCTGCTGGATTATGTGCTGGGTTTTGTGGGACCGTGCCTGTGTCTGTGCGGAGCTGTGCATGGGTGCATGTCAGCTCCACCAGGACAGTGGGCTTCTTAGGGTTGAATTAAGATGAGTGATTCCAGGAATATTTATGAATGTATATACTGTATATTTGTTATAATTGTATTATGTAAATATGACTTGAATTACGTAGAATTTCAGCATTCATTATACTTTTTTTTTTTTAATTATTCAGTTGCTTCTTGGTTTATATCTCCACTATTGTCTGGTTTCATGTCTGGCGTGCTGTTTGTACTGATCAGAATTTTCATCTTAAAAAAGGTAAGTGAGGCTGGTTTTTAAAAATTAAGTTTGAGCACTAATTTTGGCTCTACTCAATAGAAATTAATTGTGAGAGGGGGCAGAGGAATACTTGTATATTTACATTTTTAAGGCACTGCACCCAGGAGTTAGAATCAGACTTTACTATAAAATAGGAGGAAAGATTCAAGGTAGAGTACCCGGGGGACCCCTAAACCCAGCATTGCAAATACTGTTTCTCACCCTGTGATTGCGTTCATGAGTTGACAGTCCCAGGCATTGTGCTTGAATCTCAAAAAGGAAAGGTAATCATTTCCTGAATGCGAAGCAGAATAGAGTGACATAGTGTTGGATTTTGAATTGACTTTTTCTAAAAACAGCTGGAGAGTTCCTTTTCCCAAATGTAAGGTGTTTTCTTTCTTTCTCTTTGTTTTAATGAAGAAAGCAAGCTTGAGACACTGACTTTTTCCTCTCCTCAAAAGGATAAAAAGAAGGAAATACACCTATTGGGAGTGTAGTTTATCGAAAATAAAATGCGATTAAAATTAAAACTTACTGAGATTAGCATTCTAGAAAAAAATTGATTGCATTTTTTATCTGACTGTCAAGAGGTTGGTGCGGTGTTTGATCAGCCCTAAGGCAGGCCTGGATCATTGGGTTACACACAGGCCGGGCACCTCGGGATCATACCTTCCTTCAGCTGTGCTCTTGCTTAAAGATGCACTGTGTTGCCTTGGTATTGTCTGGTAGTCCGCTGAAGGGCTCATTCTCTTGGATAAATGCAAACTTACCATTCCTTCTCCTGGGTGCCCGCCATACTAATATTGGTTTACATCTTGGAAGGTGCCACCCCTCCTGCCTGCTAGCCTTCACCCTTTGTATGTCCTCTGCCTGGAACCCATCCCTTCCTGGCAAACTCCTGCTCCTACTCAACCTCCAGGTGTCACTTCCCAGGAAGCCTTCCCTCTCCCACCCCACGTTCTGCTTGGTTCCTCTCTTGTATGTCCACAGCACTGTGCACCTGCTCATCATTGCACTCTCGTGGTGTACGGTGTTTTTTTTTTCTTGCTTAGTGGTCTGTTTGCTATTTTACTATAATTTCTGTGAGAGTAGAAACATAACTGTCTCTTTCACTTAGTTTGGGTGGGTGGCAGCAGATGAATGGGTGGGAAGAAGGAAGAAAGGAAGGAGAGAGGGAGGGAGGAGGAAAGGAGACAGGTTGCAATGAGACAGTTGTCATGTGAGTTATAAGAATAGATTATTTGAGAAAACACACGTGATTTAATTAAAACCATGAACTCAGGATGTACACACCTTCAGAAGTTACTGGCTGGGCGTCTTTCTTTAGCAGCCCTCATCCCCAGGAAAACAGCATTTTGGGAATCCGAGGCAGCCGTGTTTGAGCATCCCAGTGTTGGTTTTCAGTCCAGCCACGGCTCCTTTAAGATGAGAGGACTGCTGTGCCTCTCGTCCCGGCTCCTGCCCATTGGTTCTTCATATTTGCTGTTCTTCACCTGATCCGCCTGATCTGCCCGTGACTCTCAGGCAGTTGAATCACCTCCTATCTCCGCTCTTACTGTTCCTTACACCTCATTGCTATCAACTCAAGCCTCTTGACAAATGCTGGTGGCTGCTTGGGATATTCCAGAATAGGTTCTTGATGAGGTGTACTGTTCTGCAAACCTATCTGATCCCCATACGCGTTTGCATTTGACAGTGGAAATCTTTGAGATGGTCTCTACTTCTCCTCATCCTGTAGCTCACATCAATGTTTAGATCGTATCTTCCTTTTATCGTCGGAGGGTAGCAGATTCATATAAATGTACGAATATCTTACATGGTTATTAGAAATCAGTCATTTTTTGAATTATTTAGGCAACGTCTATGTGCCAGTGTTATATTAAGGAGTTCTCAGTCCTCATTTTTGTTCCAAAATCCTCTGTATATTTGCTTAAAACTCTAAATTTCTAATATTCTCTGAGATGTTCTTTAGCCTAAGACATGTGCTGTACCTTTCTTGTTGAAGTAATAGATTTAGGGAATGTTGTACCAGAACCCTAACATTGTAAATACATGTTTTATTAGATAAAGAACCTACAGTTTGTTTGTTTTAATATATTATTATTTATTTCAGAGAGGAAGGGCGAGGGAGAGAGAGATGAAAACATCAATGATCAGAGAGAATCACTGATTGGCTACCTCTTGCATGCCGCCCACCTGGAAATCGAGCCCATAACCCGGGCATGTACCCTTGACCAGAATCGAACCTGGGACCTTTTAGTCTGCAGGCCGCTGGTCTATCCACTGAGCCAAACCGGCTAGGGCCAGTTTTTTAACTTTTAACAATTGAAGCATAAATACTGTACCTTATGAGAAGTTTTTAAAAAATCACAGCACATGGTAATGTGTTTGCTTTATACATTTTGATAGAGCTGAAATGCATTGTGTAATAGAGTGACGTAAAATCTATAGCGATGCCATAGATAGTGGCATTCAAGTTATTTGGCTCTTGTCAGATATCCTCAAGGAGCCAAGCCTCAGAGTATTTGTTGAAAGTAGGTTTTTATAGCACCAAATCTGAACTTACTTAGAGTAGTGAGTGTCACAGGTTTTGAAGTAGATGCCAATCTCTGCGCTTCGGTCCCCAGGAACAGACCTAACCTGACTGTGTTTCTGTTTCTAAATCTGACGTCCTAGCTTATGTGATCCTAGTGCTCTAAAGTGTCTGCTGGACACAGTTGTGGGCTCTTTGAAACAGCATTTGTGTGGGAGAGAGGCCCAAGCCACTGCTGTCCTGTGAAGCAGGTCACCGGCCGTGCCATGCCAGCAGTTTGGTCACGCAGAGTTTGGGAGGATTTTCGCGTAACAGTGTGTTAGATCCTGTTGCCTGTGTTGGCTCCAGATGCTTCTTGAGTCCTGACCTTTCACTTTGTCTCATTATCACGCAGGAGGACCCTGTTCCCAATGGCCTCCGGGCCCTGCCGGTGTTCTATGCTGCTACGATAGCAATAAATGTGTTTTCCATCATGTACACGGGAGCACCAGGTAAGAATTCCATTGGCTTACATCCAGCAGGCAGGGCGTTACCATCTGACAGTTGGTGTGCTGGGTGCTGGCACGAACGTGGGTGACAGTGGAAAGCAGCACTCGTGGTCATTATGGAACCATAAAAAGAGCAGCAAATGCATTTGCTAGTCTTAAATACTCAAGAGATAAATGAAATACAACGGAACAGACTTTCAAGTTTAAAAAAAGAAAATTGCAATTCCCATTCTGCCATTTACCCAGCTATGTTGCCTTAGTGCAGTGATGGCGAACCTATGATACGCGTGTCAGAGGTGACACGCAAACTCATTTTTTTGGTTGATTTTTCTTTGTTAAATGGCATTTAAATATATAAAATAAATATCAAAAATATAAATCTTTGTTTTACTATGGTTGCAAATATCAAAAAATTTCTATATGTGACACAGCACCAGAGTTAAGTTAGGGTTTTTTAAAATGCTGACACGCCAAGCTCAAAAGGTTCGCCATCACTGCCTTAGTGGCTTCTTGCACCTTCTGAGTCTCAGAACGGGATCTACTAGTAACTCCTCACACCTCCCTGAGCTGGGGAGGGGTGGGAGCACATGTGAGTGTGTCCCCACATTGGTGACATGCCAGGGGACGTGCCAGTGTGGTCGAGAGCACAAATATCAAACTTGCTGGAAACTGTCAGACCAATGAGTCCAGCAACTAGGGGCTACACTGTTTGTTGTTTTTTGGATACTAAAATCAATGGTGATTTTCTTTTCAAAATTACTCCTTTTCTTCTGATTCTGATGGCTTTTGTTCTTCTTTACAAGGGTTTGAAGTTTGGGAGAGCCGGGTTAAAAGTCCTGTTCTTTTCCATTTTCAAGGGGTAAAAAAAATGTATGTCCATTATTCTCATTTGCCCACATTTCAATGTGGGTGAACTGGTAGCATTCTAAGTCAGTATTTCCTACCTGTGTGGGTAGAGAGGGTGCCTCCTGTTTCTCTGTGAGATGCCCTCCTACAGCCAGATCCTGAATACGCCATTGTGTGGGGAGATGGGAGTCAGCAGATAGGTTCGTCTGTGCTGTTGTTCTTGTTAATGTCCTTGATAGAGTAAGATTCAGTTATTGGCCATATCTGACTAAAGTCTTCCTCTCTGATCAGAAGGTACAGTTTCTTGAAACAGCACATCAGATTACAGTAGAAAAATGCCCTCTTCCAAAATGGGGGGAAACCCTTATGAATTTCTCAACTTAGGCTTTCTTACAGTAGTTTTACTCAGATTTAAATAGCCATCGTAATTACATGTTGTGCATGTCTGTACCGTTAATAAAGCACTTTCTGAATGATCCCTTAGCATTATATGGCTACTGTGGCATCTCCGCAGCATTGGAAACATTGATCGTTAAGGTCTGAACATTTGTGATCAGGACTTCAGGCTCCGGGTGGCAGCCTGGCCGGAGGCCCCACAGCTGCTTTAAGTTACCGAGAAGCCCAAAGCTGAAGGTCATGCGGTTGGAAAGATGAAACCCTAGTAGCCTCAGATAACAGCGGCCTGATGGCCCTTTGGGTTTTGTAACTCATGGACTATGGAGTGTGTTTGGCAGACAGTTTTCCTGATCTATAAAAGGGAATCCAAGGCAGAGAAAAAACAGGGCTGAGCAGGCCTGGAGCCCGGGTTGAGAGTGAACCATGGCAGAGGGATTCTTTGTCCATCTTCTTGCTCCTGAGTCCTCGTTCTTAACTTTGTTTAGGCTCTTAGAGCTCAAGTAGCTGAACCAAAAGCTAAGCAACTGTCAACAGCCGGACACCTGTGGCCTAGTGACTGAAGACTGAGTCACATGAAGGCTGGGATGTCTTTGTAGTGCCCAGTCCTGGAAATGGGAATAGGTTCAAATAAGGACAAATTTTTTTTCCTGTTTTATTTTTCCACCCTCTCTTCTTCTTGTTCCCCAGTTCTTCCAAATGTCAGAAGAAGTCAACTGTGTGATATTTTTTAAATTAAAATTTGACTCTTTTATACTTTGTATATTTTTCCCATCTCTTCTTTTTCTTTTCCTCATCTTCTGCTACACCTTTACTGCAACTTTGCTAAAAGAATCATCTTACCGGGAGAGTAAATTATTCTAGAGAAAATTAAACCACATAATGGATGAGACACTAAGGATTACATAAATACTTCATAGAGAGGTTGTGAGAAATAAATACTATAGATGTTAACTTATATTGAGCTTACTTTTACATGAATTCATCTTGTTAGTTGTCCAAACTCCTTTAGAAAATTGGTAATATTGCTTTGCTGGCTTCACTGTACAAATGGGAAACCAAGGCCCAGCAATACTGGGTACTCAAGGTCATATAACTAGTGAGGTGCAGAACCAAAATTTGAAGCAGACAGTCTAGTCCCAAGCCATGGGCTCTTGATTATGACATTCCTAGACTAAGTATAGAAAAGTCAAATTTAAATTAAAAAACCAAACACTCGACTTCTGACATTCGTAACTGGCCTGGGGAAAATACCTAGCGCATAGTACCTGGTACCCACTGTCACCATTAAGGACAATCAAAGTACATCAGCCTTAATACATTCTTTCCCTTCTCAGCACTCTCATTAAAAATGGCTTCCAGCCCTAGCTGGTTTGGCTTAGTGGATAGAGCATCGGCCTGCAGACTGAAGGGTCCTGGGTTCAATTATAGTCAAGGAAATTGCAGGCTTGATCCCCAGCTGGGGTGTATGCAAGAGGCAGCCGATCAATGATTCTCTCTCATCATGGATGTTTCTATCTCTCTCTCCCTCTCCCTTCCTCTCTGAAGAAAAAAATGGCTTCCAGTATATTTTGAAATTTGTATATTTAATAAAGAGGAGGTATGAAGAAGGTGGTTTCCTCTTTAATTAAGAATATTTTAAAAATCTGTACAAGTATCTTGAAGATCATTATCCAATTGAAAGCACAAACAATATTCTCAGTGGGAGAGTTAATGTTAAGTTCTCTGGTTGGATGCTGTCAAGAACATATTTCCATCTTGGCCAGTGTGGGGCAGTGATTAGAGCGTTGGCCTGTGCACCAGAGGGTCATGGGGTCAATTCCCAGTCAAGGGCACATACCTGCAGGTTCCCTCCCCGGTAGGGACGAGTGCGGGAGGCAACCATTCGATCGATATGTCTCTCTCACATCGATCTCTCTTCTCCCTCGCCTTCTCTCTCTCTCCCTCCCTTCCATTCTCTCTGAAATGCAATGGAAAAAATATCCTTAGGTGAGGATTAACAAAAAAAAAACAAAAAAGAACATCCTATTTCCTCCCCTCCCTGACGTCACCATAAAGTAAGGACATTTGTAGGACTCCTGAAAGGGACGCTGTGTTTCATGAGATAATGCGAACAGGACACTTAGTACAGTGCCTGGCACATCATAACTCTTAATACGTGTTAGGGCCTAGTTTATTACATCAATCTTAAGTAGCCTTATCTTTTCAGCCTTCAGTTGCCAACATATCCTGAGTCATCCTGTCTTCCTGTTTTTTCCACACTTATTGGTGTAACATACTTCTTCCTTAAAGTTTTGGGGAGGGGCTCGCCGAGAGGAGGAGGAAGAAGGGGGTCATGACTGAAGGACCCACCATTTTGTTCCTCCACTAAAGTCAGAAAAGGACTTTACAAATATTGTGGTTTGTGGGGAATGTTTCTAAAATCTCCTGTAGGTGAGTTTAAATCTTATTTTTATTTAAACATTGAAAGTTGACTTTTGCCCTTCAGACTAGACTTGAATTATGTACTGTTTCTGCAGGTGGGGCCTTTCTGCCTGGCCAGCTGTGCCATAAATAGCCAGGGTGTTATGTGTGGTGACGGGACTGAGCTGAGAGTCACTTCAGCACTGACGCGGTCAGTCTGCTCCTTGCAGAGTAGTGTCTGCCTTTCCGCCACACTGGGGCTTGTTCCTCGGGGCCCTTTTCTTCCCTAGAACGCTTCAGAGGGGCCTCAGAGGGGAAAGGAAAGAACGAAGCTCTCCAACAAAAATGAGTGACGGCACTAATCCTAGCCAGTGTCAGCTTGAAGGGGTTTTGATGAGTAGCATTTTTGTGCCTGGAGACGGATTTCATGGGATCGGCTGGATGTTGGGTTACCGTGTTTTATTTTGATTTCCTCTGTTCCTCCATTTGTGAGTTTTGTTGACGTTGTTTATGTCTTTGACTTAGTTTGATTTGTTTTACTTTGCATTTGACATGACTTTTCTCAAATAAATGTCAGTCTTAACACTTCAAAGACCAAGGTAGCACTTTAAAAAATTGCCTTTGCATTTTTTTGTCCTTTAAAAAATAATTTGCAAGAAGCAAAAATAACTTTAGGAAACAAAGTGCTCACTTGGGTTGGATACACGCCTGAAGTCTATTTTTAATGAGAAGGTCTTCAGTTGTGTGGGGCCTGGTTTTTGTTCGGCGTCCAAAGAATGAATGGTGAAATTCATTGCATGCCTCTCTGAGTAGTGCAGGCAGCTCTCCTAACCAAGCCTCCGGCAGTTATGCAGTATGCAAAACTTCTAAGTCAGACCCACAGCACCAGCTTCTCACAGTAACCTGTCAGAATGCAGGTTCTCAGGCCCAGCCCCAGCCCCCCTACAGCCTGACAGTCTGTGTTGTACCAGAATCTGGGTGATCCTGTACATGGTACACATAGAGAACCACTGCTCTAGTCATTCTTCACCAAAATCTTCTACCACAAACACTGCTCCCTTATCACAGTTCTAATGTGAGAAGTACTACTCAAAAGTTCTCACTAGCAACGTTTGCTCACTCTGTGTGTCAGCAAATGAGTTCTCAGACTTATCCAGGCTTGGTTTCTGGCTTCTTGAGAGCAGACTGTACCTAAAACAGGGCTGACACTCCCCCTCCTCTCTGCCTCCTCCTCTTCCTCTTCCTCTTCCTCTTTCTCTTCCTCCTCCTCTTCCTCCAATACCTCCATCTTCTCCTCCCCTCCATCCTTCCCCTCCTCCCTCTCTTTCTCCTTTTCATCTTCTTTGTTTCCTCCTTCTCCC